TATCGATGTGTATGTTTAATCAATTTTAACGTGATCTTAGAATTGAAAAAATAAACTTTTCATGTATCAGGAAATTCAAAAAATATTGAAGATTGCTGATCAACTTTGAAATATGTTTTCTTAAATTGTTACTTTTTCTATTTTATAACATAATACTTATTACCTATGTTTATATAACATGTTCAAATTGCATATTAAATAATTATGTATATAATTTAATATTTATTTTAGATAAATATAAAAAGTATGGCGTATATGTAATATAAATATAAGTAGAAGAAATAATAATTATCTAATTTAAATATTAATAAATATTTTTATTTCAATTCCAAAAGATCAATTGTAACGGCAAGTTGTACTTTCATTTAATATTATATACATTATATATTTAATATTATACATTATACATTTACAATATTCCATATTTCTTTGTTCAAGTCTTGTATATCTTTCCTAGATAATACAAGATTTAAAATTGGAATTTAGACTTTTGCAAAGATGTTTAGACATCTTATGAACTCTTTTTTAGACTTTATGTTGCCTGGATTTTCTTATCCAAGAAGATTAATGATTCGTTTATTTTTCCATTTATGCTATTATTCTATTTTTCATTATTCCAGACTGTTGGAAGAGATACGTCGGCACAGCACTCTAATCATAATAGGCGAAACTGGCAGTGGTAAGACCACGCAGATTCCACAGTTGCTGCTCCAAGCTGGAATTGCTGGATCATCTGGTTGTATTGGCATTACACAACCACGTAGGATAGCGGCGGTCAGTATTGCACGTCGAGTTGCCCAAGAGCAAGGAGTGAAGCCAGGAAAATTAGTCGGCTACTGTGTTCGTTTTGAGGATTGCACTTCATCTCAAACAAGAATCAAGTATCTGACGGATGGCATGATGGTGCGAGAGGCAATGACCGATGAAATTCTGTCGGATTATTCGGTATGTTGTCATCATATTATTAATAAACAATGCAGTCATTGAATGATAATGAACAACAAAGTTTTATATGATAAATTTGTGTCATAAGAAAAGATTCTATCTTTAGATTCTATCAAGATTCTATTAAGATTCAGTTTTATCTGAATTATATTTTAGAATATAAATCAAATCCCTTTAAATTAGATATCTAAACGTTAACAAAAAGTAAAAGTCAAGTCTTTCCTATTAAGAGATTATTAAATATATTAAATTAATATATTTGAAAAACGAATAGTATAACATTCTAAAAGTCAAAGAAAATCTCTTTAAACATCTCTGTCTCTGTTGTTTATTTGTTTTTTCGAATATTGCATTAGTTTATAACTTTGCAACAGGTAGTGATACTTGACGAAGCTCATGAGCGATCTGTGCAGACTGATGTTTTGTTTGGGGTGGCGAGACGAGCGCAAAATTTACGAAAGTTGAAGAATCTGCCACCTTTGAAACTTTTGATCATGTCGGCCACGATGGACCCCGTTAAATTCAAGGAATATTTCCAAGCACCGGCATTGTATCTAGAAGGCCGTCAGCATCCCGTGAGGATATTCCACGCGGTTTCCTCGCAGCAGGATTATGCATTCGCCGCGTTAGTTACAGCGTTTCAAATTCATCGCGAGACACCCGCGAAGTAAGAATAATGCTATACTAATAACGAACTATTGAAATTATTTTTGATGTTACGAAAATATGCGAGCATGCCTCTTTGTACAACATTCATTATCATTATTGCTTAGTCTTTGTTCTTAATTCTTTAGTGAAGATATTCTTATCTTCCTAACTGGTCAGGAAGAAATAGAAGCGGCAGTGGTAGCCGCCCGACAGGTGGCTAAACAATTGGACGGACAGGAGTATCCGCCTCTGAAAATCTTTCCTTTATACGCGGCACTGCCCACTCATCAGCAGTTAGAGGCCTTCAAAGCTTCGGCGCCGGGAATGCGGAAATTGATACTATCGACAAACGTTGCTGAGACATCCGTTACAATTGGTGGTACGTACAAGTATCTTTGTTCTCTCTCTTTGCTATTTATTTTTTCTAAGCAAAAAATAGAAGGAGGAATAATCTCGTTTTTATTAGCGCTCAAAGTTTTTTTTTTTTTTGCGATAGATAATTATAAAGATAAGACGTGAGATGTAGAGGAAATTTATTTTTAAAAGTTTTTTTATAAAGTTTTCCAACGCGACAAGTGAAGCGACGTATCGCGCGTACGAGATTAATTATATCACTTTCGATATCGAAAGTGCGTTTATCTGACTATTAATTACACAACGTTCGCAGTTTTCGGACTTTTAATCGTTTAAGATTTGAGGATTTAATAAGAAAATTAAACGTAGGAATTCGCCACGTGATCGATACCGGAGTTGTCAAAGCGAGGACTCATCATCCGACGACGGGATTGGATGTATTGAGGGTTGAAAAAATCTCACGGGCTCAGGCCTGGCAAAGGGCAGGTAGAGCCGCTCGCGAAGCGCCGGGCAGGTGTTACAGAGTTTATACGCGAGAAGATTTCGAGAAGATGAAAGACATGCCTATACCAGAAATTCAAAGGTGCTCTCTCGCGGGAGTCGCTTTGCAACTACTCGCTATCGGTGTCGACATTACCACCTTTGATTTCATGGACAAACCGCCTAAGGAGGGTGTAGATGTGGCCGTGAACTGTTTGGAAAAACTGGGTGCGGTTAAAGGTAACGAGTGCTGCTAATATCTCTTCGTTTGCATGTTAAAGAAGATAAATAAGAATTTTATATAAATACAACAATTATGCGTATTAAATTTTTTATTAAATAATAATTATACTGTTTTTAAAATAAAAATATTCTTTTCTATTTAGTACAATAAAGAAATGTGATAGATTCGTTTTTAATATTGAGATTGAGATGACGCGATGAGAAAAAATGATTGATTAGCGGCATCCTGTGACAAATATTTCGTTTCGTTATATTGAATAAGATGCGAATAATAGTTCCCATAGAAACAACAATAAATCGTTACATAATCCTTTGTAAAGGATCTCCACCGCAGTTGACTACGCTCGGCCGAACGATGTCACTATTCCCGTTAGATCCTCGATTTACCAAAGTGATCCTCGCGTCAGTGGAACACAGGTGTCTGGAGGAAGCATTGACGGTTATCGCTTTATTATCGGGAGAATCGATTTTCATGGACCCACCCACGAAGAGGGAACAGGCTTACAATGCACGCTCACGGTATAGCACTTGCTTGTAATCTATTTATCTAAGAATACAGTTGAATAGAAAAATAAAATTTAAGATGTGAAATTTGTATTTGTATACTCTTCGTATGGAATACTGTATTCGCGATAGAGCGCATTCTCCATTACGTTTCGCAACTGGTCAAGTAAATTATTATTTAACGTTATCCGACTAACTCTCATTGGGGAATTCTAGATTTGCTTCGCCTGAGGGGGATCACGTAACACTGTTGAATGTGTTCCGAGCATACCAAAGTGTTACGCAGAAGAAGGTGTGGTGCCACGAGAACTTCTTGCACCATCGAAATCTGGAGTACGGGTCGGAAGTGAGGCAACAGCTTGCGGCGTTGGCAGAACGTGCGAATTTGGAGAAGGCGAGTTGCGGAACGAATACGAAACAACTCAGAAAAGCTTTCCTCGAGGGATTATATGAGAATCTTGCCGAGCTGCAAAGAGATCAAACGTATATCACGGTAAGTGAATTCTCTCACACACACACACACACACACACACACACACACACACACACACACACACACACACACACACACACACACACACACATGCGCGCGCGCGATATTACTTCAGCATTATTACATTTTTTATTGGTCAATTTTTTGATGTTGTATTGAATATCTTTTTCTTTTGCAGTCAATTTTACTATGAAATAATTTGTAAGAATGTAATATTTGAGACAGATATTATTGAAAAATATTTTATTATATTGATTGATATATGCGTGTTGATATATGAAATTTTCAAATTATCTTTCTATTATTCTAGCAAATTTTAATTAGCAACTAAACAACATTGAACATTTTTTTCTCTTGCATTTATTTGCAGTATTTAACTTTTTTCATTGAATAATAAAAATTTAAGGAACAGCTGTGCACAGTACGCATCATGAATAATTTCGTCTTTGTATTCCACTGTTGTTTTCATCTCCGCTTTGCTTGAATTTCCTACATCGATGAGTAAGCAAGGAAGATCTTGCATAATCATATTATGCATTCGGTACAGGTATACTCTAAGCAGCCGGTAACCATACACCCTTCCTCGACATTGCATGGTACGAAACCGCCATTGCTGCTATTCACGGAGGTCGTAGCCACCGGAAGATGTTATCTTCGCGGTCTGTCTGCGATCGATCCAGCGTGGTTGACGCAGAAGAACATCGGCCCTGGAAAGCACGACTGACGCAATTTTTTTATCTTAGGACGTTATTTATACAGAGCTTATTTTTGTTGACGTGAGGTGGAGCAATTGAGGCCACCGAGTAACAAGGACAATGCAGTAATTTTTTTTTATTCAAATTATAAAAACTGATAAGTATAAGAAATGTATAATTATGAAGAAAGATTACTGCATTACATTCCACATGTATCTCTATTCATCGGTCTCAAATGAATCACCTTTTTTACAATTTGTACACTTTAAGCATTGTTATAAAATTTAGTTAATACAAATTCTAACCGCTGCGTACGTGTGTTTCGTTTTGTATATCGAATTGCGACTTTTTCACGTATTCCTCCCCTTGTACATACTTTCCTCATATTTTTACTCAAACAATTTACCAGCTCTGCTCTTTTTTCCAACGTAATTCAGAGCAAATACTCTTTAAGTTCGTTTGTTTCATTGCAATACAATTGGACCAAAGTTCCCACTGGTTTTATTACAACCGCAATTTTTACGGAAAGGTTTGTAAGCTTCTTGTTCAATCCCCAGTTTGGAGAATTGGACTTGTTTCTTTTTCTTTTTAACTTCTTATCTAAAGACTGACATAGTATTGCGATTCGTTTATGCCTCTTGGGACTAAATTCGCAGTCTTTATTTTTATCAAAGCAGATTATTTGCCCGTGTGAAATAATGTCGTATACGGATGGCAACAAATCTGGGAAAATAAATCTTAGCAGGTGATTCTTCTGAGCTCTGAGCTATCCGGTATCTTGTCCCTTAACAACGTATGTTTAATGCTTCCTATAGTTTTGTAGAAGCGTAATTAAGTGAAGACTCATCCGCCGTTCATTCAACGTTTAATCTGAATCTCTTGTTCTTGCCTCTTTATCCTTTTTTATCCTATTTATAACATCTTGTTCTCACAAAGCAGGACCCGAAGGAGTTTAATGAGACATTTACGGCCGCTACGGTAAATTGAACGAACATCAAGCAAATTTTGTCAATTTTACGGTCTGCCGGGATCACCGCGAAGAAATCCAGCGGAATATCCCCGTTCCGGGATTCCGAGAAACTTAACCAGGCCCGCACGCTTAATGCTCGTTGATGGTAAGTACTGCGGAACGATTTAATCGCAAAACGAAGTTTCGCGCTCCCCGACAAAATTGCAGGGCGAATTTCGCCGCGGATGTTATATGCGAGGGTGTTACGCTCATAGCTGCGCACTTACCCGGCACTTACAACCGCGCTCCGTTCCGCGTTCTGCGTATCGGATAATTATGGCCTGAGCGGAGGAGAATATTGAATTTGCAGCTATGGCACGAGCTAATCGTCAAGCGAGGAAAGCCCGGCTTGAATTTTCAGATTAAAATTTTAACGCTCATAACATTCCGGAGCGTGTCTCGTTATTCCATTCGCACGTCCGTGCAACTTTAGCTTTTAAAGTTGAGAACGCAATTTTATTTATCATTAAATATAAGCAGCTCTCTGTGTAGTAGTAGTGAATCATAAAGCGAGCGAAAGTGGATTACAATATTTTCAACAAAATACTAGATACAAATTAAATTTTCGAATATTTCGATTCGACGAAATTTCATGAAGCTGTACGAGCTTTATTATTGCATTTCGCTTTAATAATGACGCAAACGAAACAATCAATCGTTACGGCTTGACATTAAATATCCATTTATTGGTACGGAAAATTTTATTGGGCGCGCTCGCTTGAGGCAGAGAATTTTCCAAATGTTACAGGACTCAATTATCCTTTCCCAGATAATTTTTGCCTGACGTATATGACCCAAGTGCCCAAGTGCTCCGAAAAAATATATATGTTATTTATAATCCTGTAATACAACATCCTGTAGATCTGTCCTCGGGCTCGGTAGTAGTAATGGCTTTAGTAATGGCTTTATATCGGAATATGTTCACCGATACAGGCGAGATCCGATGTAGGATTAAACCGTCACAGAGTTGGTTATATGGCACGAGGATACTCGCTCGTCGAGGTTGGATCGAATTACCCCCCTTCCCCCCCCCCCTCTCTCTCTCTCTCTCCTCGTAGCGGATGCGTAAATAGCTGTCCCCTCTTTCTCTCGTCTTTACTTCCTTACTTCCTTGGAAAAATCGCATTCGATCGCATGAGATGACGATGATACTAACGGATCTCGCCGATTCGAGATTTCGTAGCCCCTATTACGCTTTCTGACATTTAGCTAGAACCACCCCTATTGCGTAAGTAGTGATCTTCAACGACGTTTCTTTTCTCAAATCGTCTCAAATCGTTCTCAAATCTTTTTTCTTCCGCGGACGGAAAAGTGAAATTGACTTGATTATAAAAGACGAAGTGTCTGCGTCTCGACACTTTGTACGCGCATAATCCGGAGTTGGTTAATACGAATGTGGCGGTGAGAATACGCGAATGTGCCTCCGGGGTACAAATAAAGTGAGGATTTAATCTAAAACGCCCTGAGAGTTTGAAGAGCACTTTGCGAGCGTTTCATCCGTCAATTCCGGCGCATATCTAATTTCGCTCGTGGAAACTGAGAGACGCATTATGGATCTCCCGATATGAAAGTAATTACCATCCGTAATTTGCGTACGGCAACATCGCGAAAGCGATCCCTGTTCCGTCTTGAACATTTGAAAGTTCACGGGGAAGCACAGCGATTGTCGGAGGTAACATCGAATAATCGTTGCGAAGAGTGAGTTCCGATCCTTTCCGTTAAGCTTACGCGTGCATTTTAGTTCGCTCGTATGTGGGAGAAGCTCTTTGACGCGGAGCGCATTACGTAATTTCGATATCCTCCTAAAAGCTCCACTTTTTGCAGAGAACTTTTCGCTGGGCTCGAATTTGCACAAGAATCAGGATCTTGCGCCGAAGATCATTCATCGAATCCAGTAAATGATCGTCGTCACCGCGAGGTGGAAGGTGCAAAAGAGAGGAAGAGAAAAGATCTTTCATCCCCCTCTCCCCCCCCCCATACCAAGTTCCAAGTTTCTAGAAGAAACTTTTTTGTCTACTCGCGCCCCAGGATACCCATTGCAGGCTTGCGCGCGGTCCACATCCGGCATGATTAAGAATTAATTATTTATGAGCACGCCGATTCGGCGACTACATCGCGCTTTCTTCGGGGATTCACTCCCGTTGATAGGGCACTCTTTCGTTATGAATAGAGCGACATAGAATCGCGCGAGATACCGGATAAGCACGCTGAAAGCGAACGAAAATAGGCTTCCGCTTGGCGCTTCGAAAGCGTCAAGCTCCGTCTCTTCTCTCTCAATCTCATCTCTCTCTCTCTCTCTCTCTCTCTCTCTCTCTTTTCTCTTCTTCTTCCTCCAGTCACCTCTCCTTATAACCCTAGTCTCCTTCGTAAAGGTCCTTTGTGAGAACGCTTAAGAGACTCCTTAATAATGGATTCCTCTATGAATGATCCGTGAGCCATCGTGTCACGAGAAACGATGTAACGCTCGTGGACAAGCTGGATAGTCTAGCTTATCCGTGGAAACAAACCTTTGCTTTTTTTTTTTTTTTTTTTTTTTTCTATCAAGCGTCCATTTAAACTGATCCACCGTAGATTCAGCCGTGTGAGGGTAGCTCAACGGGATGAAAGAAGCGCATCTCTCCCGCCATTTTCGTCGCCTACATAATTAACCGGCTTCATTTTGTGGCGTCTTTTATATCCGCGTGCTTTTCACGCACACTTTTCTTTCACAGCCGCCTACGGTCTTTGCCTTTGTGATTGATCTATCTCCGCTCTTGTTTACAGTTCTTTAACCCTCCCAGATCTTTATCTGTTACAAAAGGTTTATTATTACGAATAACTTTATAATAATAATTCTCTCATAATAATTTCTGTTGATAATGATTTCTGTTCATCTAAATGAGCGTTCATCTATTGACAAATTTCGATGTCACGGTCTTCGATTAATTTTGCATAATTGACAGAGCCTGCATTTATTTAACAATACAAATTCGGATTCTTGGCTTTTATCGTTCGACACTATCGCGACGGGCGCATTTAACGTGTCTTCGCTGCTCGTGACGTTTTGATATTGCAGATCATATCGATGTAACCGGCATTATAATAATTATGCTAGCCGCGAGTGTTGATCACGAAAAGAGGAGAGGACTTTGAGAAAGACAACGACAGCAACAGGTGGCATCAAAAATTCATTCGTGACGGGCCTCCATCAGCAGGGGACATCTGTTTCTGGGGATCACTCGACCTTCTTAATTACGATTCCGCAGAGTAATTAGCGTTTGTGACACCGCAGGTGTGTGCCATTAGGATAATGCAGGTTGTACCGCGATATTCACAGGCGTGAGACAAATGTTTCGTAGATTAAAGAGCGCTGTAAGAATACAACGAGATAGAAACATCTTTCCGATTGGCTTCGAAACTAATCGAGAGCTCCTCTTTAATATCAATAAAGAGCATGCAAATTTATATACGCGTGTACATGTAGATAAATGGAAACTCGAGATATGTATATTAAATTATTGAAAATTTTACACTTGGGATGAAAATACTATATATCGTTACGTTAATCCATCTAAAAAATACAAATATAAAAAAATTACGTTTCGATGCGAACAAACTTTTCATTAATTTAATATTTGTCAATGAAAATTTTATGAAATTATTTGCGAACATTTCGATAAGCGAGCCATCAAAAGAAATAGCTCTATTTTAAATGTACATTGCACGCAACTGTAAAATTATATTTTTTTTTTTTTTTATAGAATCATCGAAAAAGCTATTTCGATAAAATAATGGAGAATCTTTTATTTCACCGTCACATTTCAAAATTTCTCTCTATTTGTTCATCTCGAATGCTCGGAGATTTGGAAAGGGATAGCGTCAAAACCTTTCAGCTTTTTACGCTATCCATCTATCCATCTGATAATTTTGATCCATAAATATTCCTTCGTGCAGACGAGAGCCGCGTTCGTTTCTACGACATCCATGATTTGTCGGCCTATTTGAACGAACATTCCCAGTGTTCTGAGAGCAGCGATAACAAACGTACGTACGCTGGACACGAAAGAGACCGGCTGGACAAGGGACAATTTATCTCGATCCTGGGGAGCTTGCGACGCGGTTAGTTTTGAATTTTGTGTCGATCGGCTTGTCGAGTCCTCATAACTCTCGATAAACCATCGAACGCTAGACAATGAAGGCGCGCTTCTCGCGACGACTCGAACGGGGTCGTCGTTCCGCCTCGATTTCTGCGGAATTCTCCCCTGCGGGAAATCGGGGGAGAAGCCACGATGTTTGTAAAGCGCTCGCCGGCGCGGTCGTTCGAGCATCGACGAAAAGAACGGATGTACCGCTGCCGGTGCCGCTGAAATGTCCCTTCCGGTCCGCGATCCTTCCTCCTCTCCCGGGGGGGGTTGCCGAGAGCGTTGCTTCTTCGCGTCGCTTCTTCCGGCAATCCCGAATCGCGGGGACGACGCGTCTTTCTTAACAGCCTCCCCTCCACCTCCTCGAGACTCGAAGGACGACTGCTCGGAGATGATACTTCCTCCGCGTGGCGATAAAAGCGAATCGCAGGATAATTCCTCGGGCTTCCGACGGGGCGTCTCCGAGGTCTTTATCGCCGGGTCACGCGATGAATTTCCTTCAGAAACCATCAACTTTACGATGCTCGTACGGGGACGCCTCACGTCCACGTTTACTCGCCGGAACTGCGAACGCGACGGCGGCGGCGACGATGAATCTCCGTCGTTGTTTGTCGAAGGGGCGCGGGGATTTCCCGCGGAATCACCCTCGATCCTCCCGCGATCCTCCCGCGACGTCCAGAGATCGCGTGACGTTTCGTCGACTCTCGAATTTCTTTTTTGCGATGACGAGCCGAGCCGAGAGGAGAACCGATGGCCGCCGAGCGATCCTCGTTCTCGGGCAACTCTGAGTGAAAATGATGCGTCCTCAGACTCAGGGTTCGTCAGCGAACGTAAAACTTTACGACGCGAATCCTCCCCGAGGTACGCCGATCCGGAATCGACTTTGTCGTCGTCCTTGGGATTAGGCGTCGGATTAACGGCGTGCGAACTCGTCCCGCGGGATAAAAACTCGTGACCATCCCGCGGCTCCTTCCGTCCGTCGTACAAAAGTTCCGGCACGATCGGCAGTGCTCGCTGTCTGAAATTTTTGCACGTGTGTCATGTTACGGCTAAAAGGATTGAACTAACGCGATAATATTGTATCCTCCAGCTTAACGTCTCCGGGGCAAAAGATAAAATTTATACGACGAAGCGCATTACGGCAAAAAATATTAAATGAAGTTTCCCTCGCGCCCGCACGCTACCGGAATTATTTAGGGAGACAGCGTAATTTACAGATAGCATGCCACAAAGTGAAGCTTATTAAAAGAGAAAGAAAAAAAAAAACGCGGAGAATTATGTGCGACACCGAGAAGGAAAAATATTTGTAATATTGTGAGGCCTTATTTACAAAAGACGTGTTTTCACCTTTTATTTGCGTAGGAACCCTCGGTCGGCGTAATCCCTTCGTATTTATCAATTTCGCTGCTCCGTTTCGCATAGCTGTTCGGCGCAACTGAGCACGAAGTTTTATTCGTTACTCCTCTCCCTCGTCTTTGAATTATTTTCGATTTCGAAGCAATTCGACGCCCGCCAGGGTCGTTTCTAGACTTGGAAATAGCGGAGGATCTCGCCGTCGCGTGCGACCGCTTCTCTCGTGGATATTTTCCTCCTCCCCCCCGTGTTTCTCCGAACGGCAGCGTCGCCGCATCGGCCATTACGTATCGCGGAAATGGATTTTGCTGGCTTTTCGTCGCGCCGGGGCGATTTTCTCCCGTCGTGCCGAGCGACGGTGCGGTGAGATTCGCCGACAATTCGTTGCTTATCTCGAGCAAATAGTCCGCCCAACAGTAACCGAGAGTTACCTCCTCGTTGTACGTCTTGTATATTTTCCGCCAATATCGGAGAGTTTGTCGCAACAGCGAAACGGGATCCATCCCCTGTCCCCTGCCCTCCGTTGATCCTGATATCAACGAGAGCAACAGAGCGGAAAGTATCGGAATCGTGGGCGACATCGATTCGCGTCACCGTGTTCCTGGAGAGGACAGAAATGGATACGAACGATCATCTTTTCGGACGTGCGCATAAATCGGTTGAATCTTGTCAGAGAGCGGGGAAATCGCGGTGCACGCCTCATATCTCCGAAAAT